ACCTGCTGGCTCCTAGGCGGGGATATGCCATGTTCACAGCTTTGGGATTCCGCTGCACAGCCGACTCGTCTACAGTCGCCTCGAAGGACAAAGCCAATGCAAATGCAGGGTTCATTCCGGCCGCACCAGGGCCACTCGGCAGGGCCAGCTAAGTGAGGGTGGCGGTGGTCAGAGAGCGACCCCGACACCTTACATGCCGGCTGCACTCTGCACTGAGAACATGTCTGTGCTCACGGAGGTCCCATCCTTCCCCGTCTGCCTCCCCCCCGCCCCCCGCCCCACCCTCTCTGAGTGGCCAGACGTGGCTCTGGACTGTCATGCACAAAGCAGGACCCTGCTTCCCTCCCCGCCCCATTGGAAGACGCTCCGCTTTGTAGGGAAGGCTCAGGAACGTGGCCAACGTCAACGGAAGCACTTCGAGGAAGAAAATTGCCCCCTGCCCTTCCAGCATGCCACCAAAAGGTGAAGGAGCAGGTATGTCACTCCTGGGCGGTGTCCCAATTACAGGCTCCCTGTGCCAGCTAGGAAATGTCAAAGGGCTTAAGGAATATATTTTGTGCGTTTTTAAAAATTGAGATATAGGCCCTGGCTGGTTAGCTCAGCTGTTTAGAGTGTCGTCCCATATACCAAGGTTGCGGGTTCGACCCCCCCAGTCAGGGCACAGACAAGAATCAATATCTGCCAATGGCACTGGCTGGGTAGCTCAGTTGGTTGGAGCATCGTCCTGTACACCAAGAGGTGGTGGGTTCGACTCCTGATCAGGACACATACCCAGGTAGTGGGTTTGATCCCTACTAGGGGCACATGTGGAAGGCAGATGATCAATGTAAATGCACAAATAAGTGGGACAATGAACCGATGTTTCTCTTTTTCTAAAATTAAATTAAAATTAAGATATAATTCGCCCATCACCCATTGTGCCCACCCTGAGTTTTATTTTTTTAGTCTAGTAGTAAGTCATTGCCTTCGATGGGCTGCAGGTGTGCTCATATGTGAAATACAGGCTGCCCATTTGATGGCTGTTTTTATACATGTATCCCTCTAGGTGTATAATCAGTTTTCAAGTTAAAAGTTTGTTCTTTTGGCCTCACTCATGTTTTCCTTGACTTCCTGTTTCCTAATTGCTCTCCCACACCTGGTAACTGGCCCTGACCCCCTCACAGAAGCCCCCAGATGAGGGGAGGAAGAGGCCACATTCTGGGGGTGACTGTCGTTTTCCTCCTGGTGACAAAGCAAGCTCGCCCCAGGCAGCTGCTGCGACTGAGGCCAGCCAGGCATGGCGTGCTGCCCAAGGGCGATGAGTGCCTGGCGCTGGATGGGCGAGAAGCTGGGGGCCCCGGACTGGACTCACTGAGGAAACACACGTGGACCCGGCAGGAGTGCATCGGAGACCTCGAAGAGCATCCTGGCTCAGGCCCTGGGCCCGGAATGTGGGGCTCCTGCGGACACGGGAGCAGCCCCTCAGTGCTGGGAGACACGGCCACACTTTGCTAGTGTGGGCGGCACAGGAGGGAGCTCAGAGGGAGCCCCTTGGAGTGGGGAGTAAGGATGGGAGAAGCCACAGGAGAGGTGGGCCCCAGGGACCAAAGGACCTCAGCTGCCTCTGAGGACATTAGCAGGACCGCTGGGCACCTGGCGGGCGGGCACTGGTGGGGGCATGGGTGACACCGCTGGGCTCAAGGCAGGTGGGAAGGCGCAGCCCTGCTTGCTGCTCTCTGACGTAAGGCAGCAGGAAAGCAAGGGTTTCTGAGTTTCTGCACGTATGGCCCTGGGAAGGCGCCCTGTTCTGACAGGGTTTGCCTGAAAGCAAGCAGGTGCCAGGTGAGGGAGGGCTCACGTGACTCCTGCTCAGTGCTTGTTGAGACACTTAACAGCTCCCAGGAGATTTCCAGAATCTCTGGGTAACCAGATAGCCCTCGCCAGCTTGGGCTGAGGAAACTGATCCCCTGCTGGGCCGGCTGGAGGGCAGTGTGGAGCCCAGACCCCGGGGCTACAGCCGGGAATGCAGACCTGAGGGCCAGGGCCTCGGCCTCCACGTCGCTTTTCTCACCGGGCTCTCAGGCCGCACCAGGGACAGGGGTTCTGGGCTCAGACAGCTGGGCCGTCAGCGGGGCCCGGGGACAGTGCTCAGACGCTGGTTGGTTCCAGCCCCGCAGCAAGCGGATCAGTCGCCGAGGCCTTGCTGACTGCGTGCAACTCGGGCTTCATCTAACACAACACCCCACTCCGCCACGCCCAGCTGCGCAGACACCCAGGCCCTGGGTGCCCCCGCAGGGAGCTCAGGCCTTGCCCTGGCACCCCTGAGGGGGAGGCCTGGAAGGCTTTTCCCACCTCCAGCCGTGCCAGCGAGGCGCGAAGAGCAGGCGGTGGTCAGTGCAGGGCTGAGCACAGGGCCAGGCCACAGAGCACCCGCTCGGGCCTCCCTGGCGCCCGGGATGGAGGTGGAACAGTGAGTGTGATCTCCCCCGCTCCCGGCAGGCTGAGCAGAAGGATGGCTCAGGCTGGCCCACGGGAACCTGGGAGCTGGCACGGCTGCCCGGCCAGGGCTCGCCCACCCCCCTGAGCAGCCCCTGTGGATAGGAAATGGGGGCGGGGGGTAGGGAGGACTGGGAGGGCTACCCTGTGGCCCGGGAGGGGGCCCCACAGTGCCCACGGGCTACAGTGGCAGGTGGGGATGGGTGGAGGGATGACGGTTCTACTCCGTCACCCTGTCCCACCTGCTCTCGGTCCCAGGAGCCCCATCTCGCAGGCCCGCCTCTGGCTCCCAGGTCGGGTGGCCATTGGGAGGCACCTGCAGGGGACATACCCAGAGAGAGGAGTGGGACTCACCCACGTTCGCTCCCACGCACCCCTGCCGGCAGTCACGCCCCCACCGCGGCTCCAGCTCCCACTCATGAGCGCTGTCCCTCTGGCACCTGCTGGCAGCCCAGCCCCTGGCCCCGCAGCCCCTCCTGTCATCTGCCCACCTGGGCGTGGCAGTGCGTCCTGCGGTTGCTCATCTCTGGTTGCCTGTGTCCCACCACCTGTTCCCTGTCCCTAAGTCTTCTGTGAGTCTCAGCCAGCACCTACCACTGCGTGTGGGACAGTGACCGGTGCAGTCGGTGGGGCACCTATAACAAGCTCCCGGGGTGCTAATGCGGCTGTCCTGCGGCCACACGTTGGGAAGCAGGGACCAGGGAGATTTTTATTTCCCTGAAGCAATGGGTGACAGAGGTCAGACAAATTGCCCTGTTTAGAGAGGGAGACAGACCAACCAGACGACAGCCACTACATGGCACTGCTGGTGCCGGCCCAGAGGATGAGCAGCAGACGGTGGGCCGCTGGCTCTGGGGACAGCTTCCTCGCAGCTCGGCGGGTGGTGTTTGACCTGAGGCCCAGAGAAGGGGCTGGGGACACAGCGACAGTGTGGACTCTGTGGTCTGAGAGGAGGCCAGCCGGGCTAGAGCACAGGGAGGACTCCTGGACTGGGCTTCTCCGAAGCTCAGGTCCCAGGCCCCAAGCTGGCTCCTGCACCCAGCAGGAGGGCCTGCACCTGAACTTGATCCCCTGGGATGCGGCTGCCCTCCCCAGGGCAGGACTAGGCTTCAAGTCAGCTCTCCGGGACCCGGGGCTGGGGCTGCCGACACCTCTCTGCCACCAGCAGCCCCTCCGGAGGCCTGGCCAGGAGGACTCACATGGGAGAGGGCAGCAGCCCCGCAGGACAGCAGGGGCCCAGCCCACAAACACGGAGCTGCAGGCCTCTGCTGCTGACCTGTGCTGTTTCAGTTTCCCCAACAAACCCCCTTCCTAATCCCCACCCCAGGGACACTGCAGTATTCCCTCCCTAACCCCGAATACCAGGGACACTGCAGTATTCCCTTCCTAACCCCGTATACCAGGGACACTGCAGTTTTCCCTCTGCCCGCCTCCCACATTAAGGAATTTCTGTGGTAAGAGCAATGGAAGCTGCATGGGGACTGTGATTCCAACAGACCCCCAGCTGATAGGGGCCGCCGTGTCAAGCATGGGCTGTAAGGGGTGGCGGGGGCGGGGGAGAGCATGGAGAGCGGAGCTGTGTGTGAGTGGCAGCCCTGCTCTCCGCTGGGGGTCCCCAGGAGTATAGCTGTGCCAGGCACCAGTGGTGGCTCTGGGTGCTGAGGCCAGCCTGCCCTGGGCCACTGGTGCTGGGAGGATGGGACCCTGACCTGCGTGGACCCCGACCTGCATGTGAGGGAGTGGCACTAACTGGGGGGGGCGGGCCTTTGAGGATCTGAAGACCCTGCACTGGAATTCTGGATGGAGTGGGGCTCATGGGGCTGTTTTTAAATTTGTTTTAAAATAATGTTTTTCATAAGAGTTTATTTGAGCCAAACTGACAACATGATGGAAAGCAGGGTTGCCAGTGCTGCGTCTCAAGGGGGCGGAGGGGCAGAGGGGCGGGTCCGCAGCCCCAGGAGGTGCTCTGGAGGAGGCCGGAGGAATGCCAGCATCGCTGCTGCGAGGGCAGGGCGCAGCGAGGACACTGTGACAGGCGGGGGTGCCGTTCTCTGAGCCGTTAGCGTTGCATTGAGGCCTGTGGCGCTCTGGGCACGTGGCCCTCCTGGCGGCCCTGAGGAACAGCCTGGCCGCTTCACCTGCGTCCCCCCTGGTGTCAGGTTGGAAAGCGGGCGGGCGTGTTGGCCGGAATTGCTCCCCGCTGACATTGGTAGTTAAGTGCCCACATTGCAAAGCCTGCGGCTGGCAGTCCGCATGGGGCTAAAGGAGAGGAAGGAAAGCCAGCGCCTCAGCCTCATGCGCCACCCGCGGGCCCCACCCTGTGCCCGAGACCTGGAGCTGCAGGGAAAGCACATCTGAGCCGAAGGTGCCCTGTGGGCACAGCCACCCACGCCCAGATTGTGGCTCTAGGAAAACTGTGAAGACCGGGGACCCTGGAAGAGGAGAGGGCATAGCTCTGTGCTGAGCGCAGGACCTGGCTCCCAAGTAGGACGTTTCTGGAAGCAGCAGACCGGGAAGTTGTGTTCAGCGTCCCCCTCTCCAGCTCTGGGCTCCACTCCTGCTGCCTCCGCTAAGCGGGACCGCATGCCACCCGGCTCCCTCCACATTGGACATTCACTTACTTGGGGCAGGACTACAGGCCAGGGGAGCTCCCAGGCCTCTGGCTACTTCCCGTTCTGCTTTACATCGGAACTTCCGTAAAGAAATTTATTAGAAACAACAAGCAAAGATGCCCCATGACCCGATCTCCCCATGCCAGGCCTCTTCGTGTAGATCCTGGCTCATCTCAGCTCCTTCATGCGAATGGTGGCCAGCCTGGTTCCTGCCAGGAGGGGTGAAGATGTGATGGCTCCTGTGGGCTGGGTGCGAGGGCCCGGCACCCTGGGCACAGGCGGAGGCTGGTTCACTTGCCCCCTGGACAGCACTGGGATTTGGGGTGGAGGCTATTGATGAGCTCTGGGAAGAAAGGGAATGGTCAGAGGGGAGGACAGAGCCTCCGGCCCAGTGTCCAGAGCCTAAGCCTGGAATCCCCTGAAACACACACATTCACACTGACACACAACCTCATACACCCTCACACACATGCACATTCACACTGACAATCATACACACACATGCACACATTCACACTGACAGATACCCTCACACACGCACACATTCACACTGACACACATCTTCATACACCTTCACACACATGCACATTCACACTGACAATCATACACACACATGCACACATTCACACTGACACACACCCTCATACACACACATTCACACTGACAGACACCCTCACACACGCACACATTCACACTGACACACATCTTCATACACCCTCACACACGCACATTCACACTAACACAATCACACATTCACACTGACACACAACCTCACACACCCTCACACACATGCACGTTCACACTGACACAATCATACACACACATGCACACATTCACAGACACCCTCATACACACGTACACATTCACATGACACCCTCATACATGCACACACATTCACATGACACCCTCATACACGCGCACACTCACGCTGTCCTCAGCAGGGACCTGTGATGAGGGCGGTCTCACGGAGCAAGTGCGCGTGTGCACTCCCAGCCCCACTGCTTAAAGGTGGGGACAGACCGTGGAGCTGAGTCTCCAGACGGTGACACTCTCCTCCTGTGTGCGTCACTGCACACAGAGCTGCCAGCCCCGCTGGCTGCAGGAGCGGCACCTGGCAGACTGGCAGGAAGGAGCTGGGGAACGTCGGAACATCCTGGGCTCCCGTGCTTTTGACTTTCCTGTCTGTGGGCTCAAGAAAAGACCACCCCACCTTAGGATGGACCCTCCCTCAGGACCAAGAGGCCCCCTGGGCCCAGCCCGGGAGCCTGGCTGCGTGGCCACCCCCGTCTCACCCAGCAGCACCTCCAGCTTGGACCCCCCTCTGCCCACCAGCCCCACGGTAAGCTGGGCGAGCGCCTGTGGGCACACGACCTTCCTCCTCTGTTCTGACCCCTCCTGGGGACACACGGGTGTAGGTAGGAGAGCGGAGAGGCCTGTGCCTTGCTGGGAGTTGTGGGCGTGTCACTGGGCATCTCTGAGCCTGCCCTGCAGAGCGGCCTCTGGAGAGAGAGGGCACCGGCTTTCCTGGAGGAGCGCACCGAGGACGAGAAAGCCTGGCCTGAAGGAAGGGGCTGAAGGGCCACACCTGCCCCTGGCGTCCCCCCTTCCTGAGGAGGGCTGGCTGCCCACGGACCCTCCACAGAAGCAGGCTCACTCTGGGCGACTGGGTTTGTCCAGCGAGGGAGGCAGGCGCTAGGTGTGCTCTGCTGCCCCCATCAATCTAGCCAGAGTCCAGGCCATGCCCACAACTGGGGAGGGCGAGGGTACCCTTCAGACCTGGGATGCGGCCTCAGGCCTGGACAGGAGGGGCTGGCTCCTGTAGCTACAAAGGCCAGAGCAGGGTGGAGACTGGACCAGCCCCGGAAAGGAGTTGGGGGGAGGCGTCTTTAAATCTCTTTGCACCGGCCTCCCTGCAGAGACCCGACACCTCCATCTGTGCCATCTTACCCAGTTATACCCGGGTGCGGGGGGCAAGCCTCTTCTCGGAGGCCCTGGAAAGGGGCTCCGCCTGCTCCACCACCCCCGAGCCGAGGGCCAGGAATACCACTGCTAACTGCTTGTGCACCTGGAGCAGCCTCATACAGCAGAGACGGGCCACCTCAGAGTTGCCTCTGCCTTCTCCCCACGGGAAGGTAGAGGCATCCTAGCCATGTCCTGTTGCCAGGCGTGTGCCAACCTGTCTTTCCAGCCTCCACGGGTGATTGGAGCCCTCCTAGGAGCCTGATGCCCTGTGCCATGTATGGGAGTTTAGGCTTGACTGTAGGGAGACCTGCATTTCCATTTTAGCCAGCCCCTTGCCAGCTGAGTGGGGGAGGGACCCGGCACGGTGAGCTTCCGGAGCCCTAACCCTCTCTTCAGGGCGATTTGAAGATGACAGGATAACGTGATGCCCTGTTTCTCCGACTTTCTCCAGGCAGCCGAGGCTCAGGCTGCGGCCTGGGTCTCCTTCCCCACCGTCGACGTTCCGGCCCACGCCCACTACACCCTGGGCATAGTGATCCTGCTGGTGGGCCTCACAGGGATGCTGGGCAATCTGACAGTCATCTATACCTTCTGCAGGTGACTGGCTGGTGGGGTTGGGGCCTGGCCACTGAGGGTAGCCTGCCACGCAGAGAAGGGCAGCACACGCAGCATTGCTGGTGCTGACTCTGCCAGGGCACGGTTGAGCTTGGACAGTGAGGCCAGGGCTAGCCCCTCAATGGTCTCAGGCTCAGGCCTCAATCTTTAAGCTCAGGGAAGGGCCCAGAAGTAGTCCAGGCAGCTCAGTGGCACGTGCCACTTGGCCCCCGGGCACACCCTCTGCATAGGTGACTGCCCCAGGACACTCAGTCCCTGCCCATTCTGCCCTGCCGTCAGCTCACCTCTACCATCCCTTGCCCCAGTGGGCATCCTCCTTCTGCCTCAAAGAACAGCCCTGGCACCAGGGCCCTGAGCCCTCCAGCCCCTCGGCAACCCCTCTTCCTTCCACACCTGCCCTATTCACAGGCCAAATGGCCAAGCCAGGCAGGCAGAGAAGCGGAGCCCTACCTCCAGGCCTCCTAGCTGAGGTGCCTGTGGGCGAGGCATCTCTGAGCCACACGTCTCGCCTGCAGAGAGGAGCTGTGCTTTCCCGCACAGTCAATGCAGTGTCGCAGCCCAGCAGGTCTGCTTGACTCCTGCTGTGCCGCTGGCTGCGTGTTGTGATCTGGAGGGAGCCACATCGCCAGTGGCAGCCTTGGTGTTCTCGTCTGGAAAATGGGGGTGGGGAGAGGAGGGCCTGCCTGTGGAGCACAGCGCAGCTCCGTTGCCCCCGGAGGGGAGGAATGCAGACGCAGCGGCAGGGGTGCTGAGCAGGGCCCGGCCCTGAGACCGGATGAAGGGGGTGAGGAGGGTGCCTGCAGAAGAAGGATGCACAGCTGGGCACAGGGGAAGAGAGAACTTGGCCGGGAGGGGCTCCAAGGAATGAGTGTGTCTGAGGAGAGTGTGGGGTCAGGCGCAGGGAGTGTGGAGGGTGAGAAGTGGACACCGCAGCCTGCTCCGAGGCCGAGCAGCAGCTCGGGGGCCTGCTCTCCGCTTCACTCTGCACGAGCCGCCCTCGGAGGCAAGGCTCTCACTTCTCAGCCGGCACTCTGGGCACCAAAACTGCTTGCTAGGCAGCCGGCTGGCCCAGCGGCTTGTCTCTATAGTGCACACGTGTGCGTGTGTGTGCCTCTCATGTGTGCACAGGTGCGTGTGTGCATGTACTTGTGTGTGTGCACCCGTAGTGGAGGGGAGCTCCCCAGCAGAAGTGCCTCTGACAGTGTTGCCCTCACAGGAGCAGAGGCCTCAGGACACCCGCCAACATGTTCATCATCAACCTCGCGGTCAGTGACTTCCTCATGTGCTTCACCCAGGCCCCCGTGGTCTTCGCCAGCAGCCTCTACAAGCGGTGGCTCTTCGGGGAGGCAGGTGGGCACGCGGGCTCCTTCTGCGGGAGGGGAAGGCTGTGGCCAGGGTTCCCAGTGCAGGGTGCCCAGGTGAGGAGGTGACTTCCTCTTTCTTGGCAGAGAGTGAGTTGCTGCCCTCAGATAGCAACAGGGAAGGCTCAGGCTCCAGTCCTGAGGCCTCTGCCAGCCTCTGCCAGTGCTACAGGGAGGCAGGGCGGAGAGGGCTCAGCCTGCACTGCTTGAGAGGTGAGGACAGGAGCCAAGCACCTCTGCCCCAGACCCTCACTCCCCTGCTTCTGCTGGGCTCCCTGCCAAGGCTGAGACGGAGCTGTGTCCACAGGCTGTGAGTTCTATGCCTTCTGTGGGGCTCTCTTTGGCATCACCTCCATGATCACCCTGACGGCCATTGCCCTGGACCGCTACCTGGTGATCACGCGCCCGCTGGCCATCGGGGTGGTGTCCAAAAGGCGGGCGGCGCTCGTCCTGCTGGGCGTCTGGCTCTACGCCCTGGCCTGGAGTCTTCCGCCCTTCTTTGGCTGGAGTAAGTGGGCTGTGGGAACTGGGGGTGGGGGGAGGTAGTCTGGGAGGGGCGTATTCAAGGGCAGGTCGGTGGAGTTGGGTTGGCCAGCTGGCAGAAAGGGTCCAGGCGGCTTCCTGGGCCTCGAGGCAGATGAGCCTCAGGAGGCCTGACGAACAGCAGGGAAACTGGGGCTGCATCGTCAGCTATCAGAGATGACCTGGCTCCCCTCCCTGGGCACAGGGGGAGCCCATGTGGTTCCTGGGTGCGAGGAGGGATGCTGAGTTGGCAGTGAGTCAGACAGGCAGGGCTGGGTGTGAGGCCTCAGCAGCAGGAGGGTTAGCAGCAAAGGCAATGGCCTTTCTGGGGCAGGACCAGAAAGCGGGCTGAAGCCGGGAGGAGTAGGACCCTGGGGCTCTGGTGAGGCCTCTGCTCCACACTGGCAAGGATGGGCAGCCGTGGGCTTTGCCAGTTGGCTCTCACTGCACTGGGCCAGCTGGGCTTTGGCCAATGTTCCGGGACCCCGGGCCCCACATCCAAAGCCCCTGCTTGGTGGGGAGCCTGCATTTGCACTGCCCAGATGCTGAGAGCTGCCTGCCCGGCCTCCCAGGTGCCTATGTGCCCGAGGGCCTGCTGACCTCCTGCTCCTGGGACTACATGAGCTTCACACCAGCGGTCCGCGCCTACACCATGCTGCTCTTCTGCTTCGTGTTCTTCCTCCCCCTGCTTGTCATCATCTACTGCTACGTCTTCATCTTTAGGGCCATTCGGGAGACAGGCCAGTAAGAGCTGGGCTTGGAGGAGGGGTTGGAGGGGAGGGGGCCATGCTCCTTCGCTAGAGGCTCCCATCTGCACCCACCCCTGGGGCACCCAGCTCCAGATTGGCAAAGACAAGCTGAGCACCGGTGCTTGTGGGGCAGG